ATTAACATACATGTTTCTGTTTAATTATGGCAGGGATCCAAAGAGATACTTTTATCATTACCACAGACAAAGGAATGGCTGGGGCAGATTTTTAACTTTTTTTCTTTGACCACCAGACAGTCATGACATATCAGAAACTTTTTTGAAAAGTCCCCTTAGTTTCAAAAGTGGTTTGTCACATTGCATGATGGTCTAATGGCTGAGAAATATAATCCCAAAGTCCCTTTAGGTACATAATTGTGCTGTGCTTTGGATCATGGCCTACAAACCTATTACTACGAATATTTGCTTTCTGCTTATTTTCAATTAAGAGGAGAAGCCATGATTTACACTTCCAGAAATGTAAATCTAAATGTCAAAATAAGTGTACCAATTGGTATATTATGTCATCAAATCTAATTATGAATTATTTACAAATATCAAAAGGTTACTGCCCAAGTTAATGGCAGTTCCTTCAGAGTACCTAAATGTTCTTATTCTATTATCAACCCCAAAGGAGCGACAGATCAGCAATCTGCATTATGCTACAACTTTAGAGACAACTGCCCAATAAGAAAAGTCAGACCACTTTTTTTTTCTGATGAACAACAAAAACCTGTAGCAATCTTAAGTAAGCAGAAAGCTCAGAAAATAACTGAATGACATCTATCTAAGTACCTACTGAAATAATGTCTCCATCAATTTACACTGAAATTGGTCCTACCATGGGAAGGTAAGAATACAAAAACAATACCCAGGAAGAATTAGGGTTTAGTCATATGTGAGGAAATCCCAACCTATCGATCTGCATTTAATATCAGAAAAACTAACAAAAAGCCAGTACCCAAAATACGGCCCATGTGTACAGTAAGATTTTTAATCAAACTACTGAAAGCTAGCTCCCATAACCCATACACAATCAAAATGCATTTCTATAAATAATTGCATTTTAATAAACTCAGAGAGAAATCACAGATTTTAAATGTAACCACCTTAGATATTTTTTCAGAATGCTGTTCATGGAAGATATAACCATTAACCTGATGGATGGCTACAAATGTTTTAACCAAAAAATAAGAAGAGTTGCATAAGAAAAACAGAACTGCTTTCAAAATAAGTTTGAGCATATCGTCCAGTGAGCATAACTCGCACACTGCTCTATGTTGGAGAGATCTTCAACCTGAACAGTGTTTAATTAATTGTGCTCATACTCTGCAAGCTCCATTTATCCAATCATTAAACTTGTTGCACCAGTGTTCTCTTTTCAAACTTAGTTTGATAATATTCCAAGTTTACCTTCAATACTTTTTTACACCAGTGAGAGTTTGTACTTTATAAAGAAAGATGTTTTGAAATCTGATCGACAATTAAAAAGAACATGGAAGTTGAAAGGTTTCAAGTACCAAACTAAACTCTTATGCCAAGACTTGCTAGATCAATTAATGCTTTCAATGGCAGAGAAACATTATAGCTAAAGCTAGTATTTCTATAATATCCCATTTTTTTTCAAATGAGAACTGAAACTACCTAGACAAGTTTGCATTCAAATGATCAAACTCTTATATATATACAGTGAATCAATATAACCTCATGCCACAAAATACTGAAAAAGAGTTATTAACAAAATGCATTTGCTACAGCCACACAAGCATGTCTTCAACTTGGAACCAAAGCCATGAAAACACAAGTACACATTAAAATGTACTGCATTATTGTTGGATATAGCAATGTGTCTCATGTTGTTAATAAACCTAGTGAATTACGAAGATGTGCAAAGCTTTAAAATGCTTAATAAATACATGAAAGTCACAGTTTTTAACCCTAAGCATTATTTACCGTGTTGTTCGATTTAGTTCATTTCCATTACATGAAATTAAAATAAAGCAAAATTAATATTTAATTAACAGATGCTATTCTATAAAATTCCAGTTGTTCACAAGTTTGAAATGTGAGCAGAGTTAACACTTTTTGTAGTATGTGAAACTTTGATTGCATAAAGCAGGTGAACATACACTCTTCCATTCTGCAACATGGCAAAAAATGAATACTGAACAACAATAGCTGCTGACTTTATTTGTGGTGGCAAAATTTCATGTTCAGAGCACCCAGAGAAATTTTTGAAGAGTCCCTCAAGAGCAGGGGCATTTACTAAAATATATATATATATATATATTGTATTCAAAACTCTTATTCCTTTTGTTCAACAGTGGATTTCAGATAATCTTAGAGACCCACTGCTCCATTTATTTCTTCATGCAGCAATCTGAAATATTTACTACCAGACAGTACCTAATTTTAGGTTTTAAGTGCTTTAACAGCTCTATGAAATATGATCAGCAGCTGCCATATTAAACTATGCTGAATAAACTCTCCTTATAAAAGCGAAAAACTGCTTTAGCTAGAGTTCATCAACATCAAATCTTCACTTACAAACTTAAGATGATAAAGAGTTTTTTTAAAAAATGTTTATATGTGAACTGGTTAAATGGTCTACTCTGACTTTCCCTTTCAGCATGAAAAAGTAATTTTATTGCCTGAAAATCAGAACCCCCACTGCTATACCTCTAATATAAAAATTCACATTTGCCCTCCATCTGTAAAATGAGAATCTTTTGGGGGCCTGCTCAGTGAGAATTTGTTTGCTAATCTGGAAGAACCTCATTACAATCAATAAGACTACTTCAGTGACTGGTAATCATTTAACTTGACTTGGAAAATATTTGCTATGGTTGAACTTTTTCGCATCAATGGACTCTTTAAAAATGTTGTGATTCTACTACTAAAAATATTTATTTGAAAATAAGTACCATTCATAATCCGTAGAACTTCCAAATATGTGTGCAGCTTTAAACCTAGTGTTTCTAATGAATGTATGTAATAAATCATTGTGAGCTGTAAAGCACTAGTGAGAAACTTATGACTATGGCAGTATAATCTAGAATCCTGTCCATGAGTTCTCTGTCAATTATTGTCAAATCAGGTTTCTGTTGCACAGGAACAAAAGGATCTAAAATACTGAACCATATAACCGCTCTAATAGACATAAGCATCTGGTAAATATATATTTTCCTATTTCAAAACAAGAGGGGGAAAGTATTACATTTCTAATCAAATTTATAACACATTTGAAAAGATACTTTTAAAATCAGAATTAGACTGGGAAAAATAATATTGCTACTTAAACCAAACAGATTACTGTACAACAGAGATAATACCAGCAATCTACAGAAAAATCAAGTTGCATTATTTTATACAGAGGACTTGCTCAGTCACACATAGATGTCAACATAATGAAATAGCAGGTTTGTACTAGCAGAATAATTTGGTTACAGTGAAATATGCACAGGTATTTTTTGTTTTAAAAACTATGTTCCAACAATAGATACAGTTTAGGAAAGCAAACCAGTGACACCAGAACAGAGAAATGCTTATCAGAGAGAAAAGAGTATGCTGTTGTCTTTTCACTGCAGGACAATGACATCCATGTAACTTTAAGGAGAAAGCGCAATAAAAATGTGGAATTCAATGTCATATTTCACAAACTCACATCCTTCCCTATTGAATAAATGGTTGCTTCCACCAATACGAAAATGAGCAAGACTTTTCAAAGTGGCATACCATCATGTAAAATGTATCCTGCAGTTCTCCTTTTATTGCAGATTTTGGAAGCATCTAATGACAGTCCAGCATCTCAGATTAATGACTCAAAGCCCACTAGGTTTGTACACTGAGAATTCTATTACCTCAAGCACAAACACACATACACACACATACACCAGGCTCCTCCACGTGGAAGTGCTTTCAAATGAAAACATAAGCCCCTGCACAGTGCTCACTGCATCTAAGTGGAGAAGAGCACTGAACACTCCAGAAAACAAGGAAGGAGTCACCAGAATAGTACGTGTTCTGTGGAACTTTAAACCTAGGTGCCCTCACAATTGATTTTTGCCCTGACAAAGAAAACGAGGAAACAAACAAATCCAAAAGCAGTCTTGTGTCCCTTGCCTCTCTATTTTAGATACGCCTACCAAGTGATCCCTATTTTCAGTTCACTGCCTTTCAGAATGTCTTATCTACAAGTATTTCTAATAATAAAAACTGTAATTGCTTTCTCTGGGGGGAAATATACATAAGGGGAAACTGAAGGTGCAAGATGCTCATGTTCAAGGTAATATATATTCCAGATCCAAGGCTAACACTGCAAATTAAATATATAAATACTTGTTCCAAAGTGTTTTACTCCCACCACTACCAGATAGAAACACGAATTTCTTAATTCTGTTCCCTCCGCGGTTCTATTTCAGTATGCCAGCAAACTTGTGCCATACGGCTCCTCACATCAAACTTTTGTGAGAGGTTTTCTGCTGAGAACCCCACGGGACAGCGGCTGAACAGAGCCCTGCTGGTTTCGAAGAGCGGCGCAGCCAACTCGAAATACGAGCGCATCGGATCCTTTGGAAGAGAAAAGCGCTCTGATACCGCCGCCGTGTCACGTTTGTAGCCACGGCACGACTAGACCAGGACGGGAAGAACTCGGCAGGGGCACCGGGAAACAATGCGAAAGAGCGAAGCGAAAGTTTCCAAGCGCTTCTTTTATTTCCCCCCCCCCGCCCCCAGCCCCCCGATCACCTGAAGGAAGTCACAGCGGGGCCAGCAGCCGCGCCAGGAGCCAGTCCTGCACAAGACGCCGCGTTTCTCAGCGCCCACCAAGGCGCGCACCTTCCCTGCCTGACCCCGGCCCCGTGACGCGGAGGGCAAAATGGATCTCAGTTGCTCTCTGGGCACTGGACGAGCCTCCCTCGCCCGAAGCCAAGACTCCCAGCTTTCCTTTTGGCTCTTCGGCACGTTGACCTCAGAGGAGCGATTCACTTCTTCTCCTTCTCCTTTTTTCAATATGGAAAGCGCCTCATAAAGTCCCCCAAGCCGTGGCCAAGAAGCCAATCTCTGACCTCTAGACAAGAAGGGCGGGGGGCGCAGAGGGGCACGGCGGAAAAAAAGGTAAGGAGGACTGACAGACTCACCTTCTCCTGCCGCGATGTCGACCCCCGCCGTCGCTGCCGCTTACTGATTCTGCCCCCGGCTCCGAGTCGAAAAAGCTGCCCCTTGGAGCTGCTCCTCGAGTTTAAAAAAAAGAAAGTAGGACATCCCCTCCCAGGCTAGACGCCCCCCCCTCCGCCTTTTCTTCACTCACTAAAGTACAACTGAGGAGAAAACAAAAGAGGAGGGAGGGAGGGGAGGAGGGAGAGGGGGAAGCAAGCAAGGAAGGTGGGAGGCTTTCGCTCAGAAGCCGGACCCCCCCCCCCCACTTCGCTTAAGCGCGACCACTTTTTTTCCTCGCCTTTTCCCTTTAAGAAGAAGGTCGCCTCCTGAAGCGAGACGCAGACCGAAACAAGTGCGGGGCAGAAATGAAGGAGGGGGAGGGAAAGCACAGGCCGCGGTGCCCGACGCTCTGGGTGGCTTTGCTTGTTTTGCACTTGTCCAGAGAGTCGCTGCCAGTTTGGTGGCGATGCCGCTAGAAGCAGGGAGCTGGCGCGCGCATTTCGGGGGAGGGGGGGAGATAGAGGGGGTCGTCGTGTTTACAGCGGCTCCTCGTTGTCATTGGTTGTTTTCTGGCGTGGGTATTGGTCAACAGTTGGCGCTGGAGGGAAGGGGCACGTGGATCTTTGCCACTGGCCCCTCCTCCGCCTCACTGGCCCTTTCTTCTTCTTCTTCTTCTTCTTCTTCTTCTTCTTCTTATTATTATTATTATTATTATTATTATTATTATTATTATTATTATTATTATTATTATTATTATGCGGTTAAGTCACAGTTGACTTTCGGTGACCTGCTGCAGAGGCGGTTTGCCATTACCTGCCTCTACATAGAGATCCTGGACTTCCTTGGTGGTCTCCCATCCAAATACTGAGCAGGGCCGACCCTGTTTAGCTTCTAAGATCTGATGAGATCAGAGGAGTAGCCTGGTCTGTCCAGGTTGATGTGGTGGCCTTATTTGCTCTATGTAGTGTCCTTGTGGCACAGAATAGTAGGAATTAAAAACCTACAGCAGGTACGGTGCATTCACATGGAATGGGTTCAAATCTTCATGCTGCCATAAAGCTTGCCATCTGACCATGAGCCAGTCACTCTAAGCCTTCTGGGCCTCACAGGTTTATTGTGGGAATAAAAAAAAATAAAACTACCTTGAGCTACTTGGAGGAAGGGTGGGTGGGATAAAAATGTATCCTACCAGTCACCTCATAGGAACTTCAAAAAATGGGCAAGGCATCTCCCAGGGTCAACAAGCCTCAGTATAAAATGAGGTCACATGTGGTGGCAGAAAATAGACCACTGGGTGACTGCAGGTGGACCGCTAGTCTTTCTGTTGCTCTCTTGGTTGCTGATATCCTTGAAAGCAAAGCACAGGCAGCAGGCTTCTCTTATTTAGAAGCAGATACTGCTATGGTAACAGGCTATGCAACTGCACATTGTTCATGCTTTGCTTCAGCTGGACAGCAGGTTTGGCTGACTGGACAGCGCCACCACGGGCAAACTGTTTTCAATCCACACCCATTTCCATTTTACAGAGGAAGCAGAAGAAAGAGTAGTCCTGGTGAATGCAATGAGTGCTATGGTCCTTGTAATTGTTTTGGGAAAAGAGCTGGATAAATTCAAGAATGAGAAGTCTATCACTGACTATTAACAATAACAGCTTGCAACAAAACCTATGTTCAGAGGCTATATTACTAGACAGTGAGCACTAATAACAGGGATGGCTATTACCATTATGTCCTTCTTGTGACCTTCCCAGAGACTTCTGTTTAACTGAGTAGAAGACACAAATCTGAAGTTAGCCGTATCATAACCTAGTTCCATGCCACAGATTGTGTGGGATTCTCTTCTTAGTGAAGTAGTTTTGCGCCAGGGCTGACCTGAGAAGTGGACAGATTTTCTTTCTTTTCTTTTCTTTTCTTTTCTTTTGCAAAAGTGGTGTTTCTTCTTGATGGTGTGCTAATTTAAGCATCTTACCAGGATGTCATACTTGTTTTACATGGTTGGTGAGGAGCACCATTCATTAAAATACCTTTCATCTGCCATAAGTACATAGACATCCAAAAACCATTAGTATAACTGAACACCAGCCATTTTGTTATATGTATACACCAAATTTCTCCTTTATTGACTGTGTATTTGTGATCAGGTATAAGAAGGTAAACATACATCAGTGATACAAACAATACAAGCCTGATTGCTCAGGTAAAACAAGCAGTTACTTTGGACAGCAGTATTTTAGAAGTGTCAGTGAAGTGGCACAAGATCAGAGATGTGCAACCCAGAATAACTTGTAATATTACAAAGTTTGAGTCCAGTGGCACCTTTAAGACCAACAAAGTTTAATTCTTGAAATGTGCATGCACACGAAAGTTTATACCCAGAATTAAACTTTGTTGGTTTTACAGGTGCCACTGGACTCAAACTTTGTTCTATTGCTTCAGACCAACCTGAATCTATTTGTAATATTACAGAAGATACTGGGTCACAACTCCTGATGGCTCATATTTGCAATAATCTGAATGTTGTGCCAAGCATTCTTTACAACACCACAAGAAATTCTGTAGATATCCTCTTGGATTATGCACTGCAGCCTTTGTATACTGCTAACATAGTTAATTCCTGTCCTGTGATCATGGACTGCAGACTTAGCTTTCCCCCACCCCCATCAAGTCACAGCCAATTTATGGTGATCCTATAGGGTTTTCAAAGCAAGAGATGTTCAGAGGTGGCTAGCCATTGCCTGTCTCTGCATAGTGACCCTGCTATTCCTTGGTGTTTGTGATGCCCCTTATCCAGTCACACAGAGTGCCTATTATCCCCTACAACCTCTCTTATGGGTTATACATAGCTGAGGACATCACACTCGCCATCCTTGTCTCTTTTAAAATCTACATTGAGTCATGACCATCTCGTACCTCAGATCCTCTCTCTCAATCCTGGAGACCTCCACAGACAGGGTAGCCCAGCTCCCCTTAATAATCAGCCCTCACTCACACAGAGCTATTGGGGTTGGGGCTTAAACACTGTTCCAATCACTCACTGCCTCCATTCATTTATATTCTATAATATATGCATGTAGGCTCAGATATTAAATTGTGTGTGTGTGTGATTCTTTCCCTCAGACACACAACCCACAGGGTTAATCAAAACAAGAAACTTTTATTTAGAAGAACAAAACACTGGAAAAAGTAATGTCTAAGAAACAATATTTCCCTTCCAATGAGCTTCTGAACTGAGGTCCTATACATACAACTGGGATCCTTTTGTTACAAATTTACTATTTTCTTCTATATAGTTCCCCTCAGTCAGAAAAACCCTTTTCACCTCAGCCCTTAAACAGTCCTTCTTTCTCTCTGCTAACACCGTAACTGCCATTTTTCAATGGCTGTTTTCAAGTCTCCTGCTCGCAACATTCCACCAGCTCTTATTGGTTGCTCTAGCCTGTCCGTCACAATGTTATAATAGAATTCCAGTATAAACACTTTCTTGTTGCACTGTCATCTCTGGTTTTGCAGGTTTTGGTAGTGTTTTTAAATGTATACCACCTTTTTGACCACAGATGATAATGGGTGAAAAAATTGTGTGCCGCACACAATAAACAATGATAAGACACTATAGGCTACAACATGCTATAGGCAACAATGTGCTGACTATTGTCTGACTGTCTCCAGGTTCTATAACATTATTGATGTAGGCCCAGAAAAGAGACTTCCTGTGAGTTCCAGGTGGCTCCTCAGTGCCTACGTGCACACACACACACAAACACAAACACACACACACACACACACACACACACATACTGTAGGGGTGGTAGTAGTAGCTTCTCTTCCTTCTGTTTACTGCCACAGCCTTTCAGCTCATAATCACTAGTGTAACTGAGCATATGTCTTTGGTGACCACATCTGGGCAGCTTCTTTTGCAAAGGTGAATAGTGTCCTACAATGACCACAAAGGAAGACTAGGCAGAGGACTTTAACAGGAGTAATCTCAACAGCAGTATCTGCCTGTCGCTACCCTGCATCAGAGCTCACTAACATTGTCAGCCCCAGATTCAGTGGTCAATTTCAAGGCCGCTGGTCACTTTTAGGCCCCCTGCTAAATGATGTGTTCCAGCAAATACTGTGCTGCAATGATTCTGACCCCTGGTTTTGGATCTGCCTATCTACTCTGTATAAACAGTATGATTCTACATCTCTACATCTAATTGGGATTTGTTGGAAAATAGATATGCACTGTATATTTTCCCCAATAAATCTAAGCCCAAATACATTAGAATACATAGGCAGAATCAATTACATAGTTCCTTCCTGCTTCGGTGCTGAGTTCGTTCTGTTGGCAACCTGTGGGAGTGTGGGAGGACAGGGAAATGGTGGGTGCCATCAGCATAATGGGATTACATCACTTCCAGGGAAAACCCAGAAGTGACATTAGTCTAATCTAGGAATTGCTGGAAACACTATGGTTTTACCATAGATGATGGTTTTAAGGTAGGTGATTTTTTTTAAAAAAAAATCCTCACCAGTTGCTGGACCAGTGTCAGGAAATGAGAGCTGGGGATGGCAGTTCCGTGCCCTGACCACAAACCTGGGAACCCTATTTCCTGTCAAGCCAGGAGACATTTTGTTCAGCAGTAACTATGTTGCTTCCCTGCCTGTGTGGTTTGGGGATATAGATGTTACCAGAGCAGCATGGGAACAAGTCTCATGGAAGCAGGGCTGCATCCACATGGATATTTTGCTTCCAAACAGGAGGATTTTTATTTTTAGTATTTATACAATGTCCTTCTCTATCTGTCCACTTCTCAGGTTTTTCCTGCTTTGCTCCATTCTGACCCAAACCTGTTTGATCCAACCTTTTCTGAAATAATACAGTCCAACTGCGTAGTTAATTAACTGTGTAATTACATTGGTAATTGTCACTATACTGTAGCAGGGCAGGAATTCACTGCTCATCCAATCCTGTGGATGGTCTGTTGCTGCTGCAAATGCCTCTGCAGAATCACTGCCGTACTGATGCAGCCTAGATCGGTTTTTTGATGATTTGTGGATCAGCCCAAAATTTACTTCCCTGCTTGGGCTAGACAATAGAGTGGCAACCTATCTCTTCCAAGTCTAGCTGACCACAAAAACCTTGATGCTACACACAAACGAGGGTTCTCTTCCAAGGATATGGAATGTGTAGTAAAACCTTTTAATTTTTCAAATAGTCTTTTTGCTTCCTTAAGGATTTGGGATTTTAGACATACTGCATGTCCCCATGTGGTCCTCCTCCCTTATTTTTCTTTAGATGAGATTTTTGTAGGCCTGCCAGGTATGTGTGTGCATGTGTGGCCAGGCACACCATTTTTCTACATCGGCTTATTTTATACTTGGGCAGGCCTGTTTTCTTCCGAAAGCAAGTTCATCAATCTGCATTAGATGATACACTGAGGATCTTG